ACTCAGTAGATTATTTACCCGACGTTTATGCCACCCAACACAACTTTAACCGCGATTTGTATATAGCCTCTGTCATTTCGATCATTTGGTGTTATCCGAAGTGGAAGCATTTTGGGGACTAAATTTATGCGGCTTTTCGCAAAAGTGTATATAAAATTCTGGCTAGCCGCGAGATTTTAGGGAGCGGCAAATTCCGGGTTATGATGGTATCTCGTCTTGAAACCAACTATGACTATTTAGTGTTGTCCTATATTCTTTTTTGCTGGCGCTTACCGATTGTGGTCGTTCCATGTCCTTCTTCTGCCGGCCTGTAGCCTTAAGGATCACAAGCCTGCCTTGTAATCCGAGGGCGTTGGTTCGAGACTGCGTAGGTACCGGTCGACCCTTGCAGTATCCTTAGCTCACGTGCGACCGATGGTGGCTGCGCGGTGACGAAGCGTCGGTACTGCGTGTCGGCATAATGCGGACGTCTTTTTGCTCTTCTCCTACCTAATATTTATCCTGCTAATATGCTTGCTGTTGATGTAACAGATGCATTGTTTAACAACAGTTTCATTTTCATTATCAGCGTTCCTTGAATGTTGTATCCCGAGAAAGCAGCAGACCAGACCAGCACCGGAACGTATGTGTGGAGGAAACTGTCCGCACTCACGCGCAGTACAATTAAATCGATAAACCTTCGAATTGCAACCAATTACATGATAGGCTAACGTGTGCTAAATAGAAGTGTGAGTAGGATAAGCGAATCGAGGGCACAAACAAATTAATTTAATTGAACACGACATTGTCCCCTCCTCTGTTCGTAAAAATATAGGCACTACATGTCCATGAACTATCTAATTTAATGTCAGAACCCCGAAGGATTGTCATGTGGTGTTATCCATTAAAGCGTATCGGTAGACAGGGCGACGTATCCGACCGGAACCTCGTAAGTTTGTATTAATTTATACCGAGCGCTGTGTTGTAGGTGTGTTCGTCTGTTCAGTAGCACGTTGCATTCACCTTTGTCCCATCAGCTAACTTGTAAGTCCCTGGTGTGCACACAGATACCACACGGGTCGACGTTCCGAACACATTACCTCCTTTCCGGGAATAGGGTAGTCTCACACGACCTAATGTCCCTGAAGGATACGTTCTCCAAACGCGTCTGTATTTAGCTCAGCGGTCTATTCGGGTGTAAATACTGCATTTAATCGAGTTCGAATTGTTCGCTTAACATTAGCTCCGAGGGGGTCGTTGCCGTTTACAGTAGGTGGAGTAGTTCTGTATACATCCGATGCGGATATCAACGCATCATCCCAGGATTCCGCGAAAGCCGAAGGACTTGTAGAGATTCTTTCAAAGTACGATTAAGTTGATCCAATAGTCCATTCGCTGCAGGGTTATAAGGTACAGTCCTCCTGTGTCTGATACCATTGCGCCTTAGGAATTCAGCATACTCGTTACTTCGAAACTGTGGGCCGTTATCAGTGACTATTTCTTCTGACAAACCGTACCTTGCAAACAAACAACGGAGCCACTTTATGCTGACGGCTGTAGTTACGTCCCCGCATAGAATAGCCTCTGGCCATTTGCTGTAGAAACATGTAGCCATTAGCACGTTTCGCTTCTGCGGGGATGCACTGACAAACGGGCCCATAATATCGATGGCAATTTTGCCCATGGCTTTATTGGGTACACGATAAGTCGGACTAAATTCATTCAAGTGCCTCGCACTCTTATCGGATTGTTGACAGGCGTAGCATTCCCGAATAACCGCCTCGACGCTGGAATTCAACTTCGGCCACCAATAGTATCGTCGTATCCGAGTTTTTGTTCGCACGATCCCTTGATGACCTTCACGCGCATATGCGACCATCAGAGGAATAAGGGTTGCAGACACCACAAAATGCTCGCCTATAATAATGCAGTTGCTCTCAGTAGAATGCTCGTGCTGTGTGGTATAGTATGGAAGTAACTCAGGTTGGCTCTCGGTACGACTGGGCCATGAAGTGGATATGTACTCCCGAAGCTTCGCTAGGAAAGGGTATCTGTCAGTGTGCTCTCGGATCAGGTCAAACGTTATTGCAGGTGTTCCGTCTGAGAGATGCGATATCATTTTACCCCCTCTAAGTCCGTGTTCCCCTTCGTTGGACGGTGGTAATCTCGACAGGGCATCTACAAGTTGGTTAAAGCACCCTGGCACGTACTTTATTTTATAATCATAGTTCAATAAACGTGAGTACCAGCGATTCAAGCGTACCGGCTTTTGGCCTTTGTTACCGCGACTTAGTAGTGTTAAGAGCAGAATGATCGGTGCGCAAACTGAATCGATGTCCGAATAAATATAAGTGCCATTTTTCACATGCCCAGAGGCATGCGAAGACCTCGCCGGTGGAATAATTTCTTTCAGGATCAGACAAGGTACGCGATGCGTACGCACTCACTTTCTTCTTGCCATCGCGCAGCTGGGACAGAACTGCACCCAAGCCAATATCTGAAGCATCCGTTGAAACAAACGTTGAACAGTGCTCATTGAAGATCACTACAGTGGGAGTGGATTCAATCATCGCTCGTATGGTCATGTAAGCATTGTCTTGTTCAGTGGCCCAACGAAGCTCCTGCTTTTTGCGCGTCAACCTCCGCAACGGCTCGGCAATAGTCTCAAAAATCGGTAAATGTCGAAGGTAATAAGAAAACAAAAATGTTCCATCTGTGTGACATTGCACGGTTTTGGGCAATCGAGAATTGCTCTTGTGTGCTGCACATTAGGCTTAATACCCGAACTAGAAATAACCTGTCCAATAAACACTACCTTCGTTACAGGGAATTGGCGTTTGTTGATATTCAGACGGAGATTTAGTTCATTCAGTCTATGCAGCACATTATGAAGATTTTCTTGATGTTCGGTTGGATTACTACCAGAGACAAATATCATCCATATACACAACTCATCTTTTGAGATCTGATAACGATAGAGTACTAAATTTCTGCCAAGCTGCTGGGGCACTACTAAGACCCATTGGTAGCACTTTGTATTGATACAAACCGTCTTGCGTGAGGGAAGAAGTGAAATGTCGGCAATCTTTAGTCAGTGGCATGTGGTAGTATGCACTGCGAATATTCAGCTTTGAGAAAAGTTTGGCGTTTGATAGCCTAAGCATCAACTCGTCGATAGAAAACAGAAGGAACTTGTCCACAATTATATGCCGATTAAGCGATCGAAAGTCGGTGCATGAACGAATAGAGCCATCTTTCTTTTGAACGGCAACTAATGGATGAACCCATTCAGAAAACTGTATGGCTTCTACCAAGTCTTCCGTGACCATATTTTTCAAAGCTTGCAACAACGCCTCTCGCTTGGCCAGAGGTACAGGCCTAGGTTGAGAAATGCTGAACGGTTTGTAATCCGCGCTCAACCGAATGCGGTGCATTGCTTTTGGGACTCTACCAATATCCGGAAGAAAGAGATTTGGGTAACTGGAACGTAACGAATGAAGGTTGATGCTGGCAATGGTCGTCCGGCTGACGCATGGAATTACTTCCCAATAGAGGCTTACTATCAGTTTCAGAGACGTAAACTTCAAATATACGCCTCCTGGTGTTTATCGTAAACATTGAAACCGTAACAAAACCGAGTATGTGGACATCACCATTTAAGTAGCTGCTGAAAGTGTAAGCGGAAGGATGTACAGTTGGCTGACCAAAATGCTGTTTGTTAGAACAATATGGCACAACTGTGATTGGTGACGCTTAATCTAGTTCCATGTCTAGCCAAATGGTTTTGTTTCTAACTTCAAAGAACACGACGAATATCTGGTGAAGGCAGTTTGGGTTCATGAGTTGGAGACGAAAGTAGTTGTTCGCACTCATTAACGACATATAGATTGTTCAGTGGTGACCGGAGAAGCACTAGAGTCATTTTCAGAATCAACTAAAGAAATGGCGCGGGAACGACAATCCCGAGCAAAATGACCGGTTTTACCGCAACTCTGGCAGATTCCACTCTTTGCAGGACATAACTTATCATTTGCACGATGTTCAGCATTTCCACAACGGTAACACTTATTTCTAACTGAGGGTCGCGTCAGAGAGCGTGTACTATCCAATCGGTCAATTTCAGTAGTTTCTGTATTAGAGAGAAAAATTTTCTTTTGTTCCGTGACTACGACCTTCGCGCAAGCCATGTCACAGGCTGTGTCCCATGTGAGCTTTTCTGCGTTCTCCATTAAGAGACTCTGATCCGAGAATCCGTGAGACCAGAAATCAGTTGTTGTACTAGCATAGTTTCTTCTACTTTTTTCTTGGGAATACTTTTGTAATCACACTTTCGAAAAGAACAGACAAGACGGAAAATGAATGCATCCACTGGTTCACCAGTGGAAAAATTCTACCCAGAAGTGTAAGTGTTCACTCGAACACCCCAATGTTTATCGAGGGCCGATAAGGCCTTTGTCAACGTGGATTTCTCCCGCAGGTTTGGAGCATCAAATATACATCAACCCTTTGAGCCGAGGTTCAAGCGCAAAAGCATTAAACTATCCTCTGTTTTCAACGTCTCGGAGTTATTGGGAACTGGTAGCACAGAAATATAATCTGAAAACTTATTTTCCAGCCTTCCCAGCATTCTGCATTTGAGGTAACCGCAGAGTCAGTCCAGAACGGTGAAGGAGCAGTAGAGTGCGGTGACCTCGGTAACACGCGACTCCAATTTGTTGTATTCCGAAAAAGCAGCAGACCAGAGCAGCACCGGAACGTATGTATGGAAAAAGCTGTCCACACCCACGCGCAGTACAGTTAAATCGATAGAGGTTCGAATTGCAACAAATCAAAGGGAAGATCACATGATAAGCCAACAAGTGCTACATAGAAGTGTAAGTAGGATACGTGAATCGAGGGCAAAAACAAAGCAAAGTATTTGAACACGACACCCTACCTAATGTTTATCCTGCTAATATGCTTGCTGTTGACATAACAAATGCATTGTTTAACAACAGTTTCACTTCCATTTTCATTATCAGCGGCCGTCGTATGCTTGGCATTCTACAAGGCACTTTGAACCAGTTTCGTGCAGAATCCGCCGCCGCAACCAGCTTGCCGCAGATGACCAAGCGTCGTCAGGTTGATGCCAAATTGGAAGCCCGGGCTGAGGAAGAGCGTGAGGTACTTCGGAGAGAACGCGCTCAGCTTTTTCGATCTCGCCGTGAGCAACAGATGGAAATTAACCTTCTGCAACAGAAAGTGCGAGCAGCTAAGGAGGTTCGTTTAAAATGCAAGGCACAGCCGAAGCTCTACCATTTGATTATAGAAAGCATCGCATAAAATATGTCCCACTGATTCCGTTGTCCCCATTCCGCACTATTTCGTTTCCGTTTGTGGGTGTAAGCCGGTCGTCTGCTCTGTACTGGAAGCATGGGCTGTACTTGAAATCAGTCTTCCAGTATGGACATTGTGACATTCTGTGTTCTATTTACTCTAACCGACTCATCCAAAAAGAGTCCGACACGATTTTGTGTCATTTGCAGTTACCAAAGGGTGACGAGTTTTCAAAAGAACATGCGCGTTTATGCACCTAGGAAAGGTGAGTGTTCAGCCGTACCGTACGCATTCGAAATGATGAAGTACAACAGCGGTAAAACAGCAAAACTAACACATAGGTAAAATTTACTGGTTGGTTCGGGTGAGACAAAAATATGACTAGGTAGGGAATGACCGACTAGCCCTAGGCTTGCGTGTGTGCATACCTTTCTGGTCGTAGTAAATGCTCGATTGGACAGTGTTCTGTGCAGCGGGTGCCTGATAGCTGCGAGTATTGTTGAAATAATTTTTTTTACAAGAATTTGCATCACTAACTTAAGCGTTTTTTTCTTAAATATCAAACTTCGCCTTGGGATGTTACTGCAGGGAGGCAATTGTCTCAGCCATGTCAAGTTGTTTGAAATGCTTTAACAGGAGGGCTGTAAATCCATTGCGGCAGAATATACGCGCTGATTAACCGCAAAATGGTTTTGGTAGACGACTGACAATTTCAGGCGAGAGACATAAACTGGCAGCCTCTTGACTATGTTGGATATTTCAGTCACATAGAGTGATTACGTTCAATCATAGCTACATGTGACTTCAAGGTGCATCACTGACTTGGGAAAACTCCAGCTCTCACCATCGTTGTAAATTTAAGGCCAGATCGTGACAAGTACCTGGTAACGAGCGGCTTCATTACGGAACGTTACGGAACGTTATTGCACCTGTATGCGCCCAGCGTCAAACAGCCCAACTTTGTCCACTGTACTAATTCATCCTGAGGCGCATCTATTAGTTTCCGTTGAGTACTAAGTTTCCGCTTGTCCTAAACGCCCTGAAATGACGCCTGACAAGGAGTCTTCGAATAGGCCGGGAAGGTTGGTGGGTGACCAGGGGTCGTAAAATGGAGAATGCCAGTGCTATTGGGAACAGCCGAGTGCTGACCCAGCTTATCCGGATCACAGGTCCAAGGAAACCATCAGTTAGTGAGACGGCAGCTGTGAAGGATGTTCAATTATTCCGTTCTCAGCTCGTCGATTGGCCCGTTGGGCGGAACCCTTTGCAGAACAGTTCAGCAGGCCTACTGCCACATTGTCTTTTGCTGAATCACCTGAGCCGACATGGGAAGTTGATATCACGCCTCCCACTTTGAAATTCGACATGAGTTTGCTTTGTTGAAAAGAACTAAACATCCTGAAACCGACTTTGCTGACGGCTGGAGGTGACTCTCTATTTAACGCGATTTGAGACCGTGAGGAAGTGCTTTCAGCTGGGGACTGTCAACTATCATGCCCATCATAAAAAAACTCGACTTTCTGAGAAAATCATTGGGGCATTGCTTTTATTTCAATTGCCTCTAAACTTTTCACGTGTAACTTTCTTCAGTGAAACACTGATGCCCGTGAGATGATATATATATATATATATATATATATATATATATATATAATGTCCACACGTGCTCCAAATCGAGTGACAGTTCTGCATGCTTCGGCATGCAGCGCGCACCTTTGAACTTCGAAGGGTTGTTGTATGACTGGGCCGATATGCTACTAGTTCTAGATCCTGGCGAGCAGCTACTGGGAGTGATGGATTGGTTCATTTACCTTTGTCGCTATGTCACCTCTGACCACCATCATCATCATCATACACGTTAGCTAGAGGTGAGGAACACCTCAGCTACTGTGCCACAATACACAGAAAAAGGAGAGAAAAAAGCAACTGGTGCAAGCCGGCTGAGCTACCGGTAACGGATGGGCATCGTTCCGGTAAGCTACCAGCCGGCTACTGTGTCTAAAAAAACTATGCAAGATTATATAAGGCTTAATAATGAGATCGTGGTTGGAGGGGGAGCTTAAGAGGGATGGGGTGGGACAAAGAAACTCACAGCATGAACGCCACTGAGGTCCGCTCCTAGCCATATCAGCAAGTGTATCCAGCCAAACATGTTCATCGGCTTTCGGACCCCAACCAGGGAGCCGAGACGCTCCAAACGAGGCCAGCTCAGAAGTGAGAGCCTTCATTCCTCTGGACCAATTCATTGCTTGGCCACTCCTCCTCTTCCATCCACACTTCTTGCGCGAAAACAACGCACGTCGCGGGAGTCGGTGGGCTTGCATGCGTAACACGTGGCCGAGCCATGTGAGCCTGGTGCGTAAAACGACGGTGCTTAGCGTTTCATTTCCTTTGCCTGTGCCGTAAACAGGGGATCGAACGCACTCATTGCTCACGCAGTGTTCCCTCCAGATGTGAGCTAAATTACGAAGGCACCGGTGGTCGAATGTAACTAGCCTCTTCAGGTCCGCCGCTTTAAGTTGCCAGGTTTCACAGCCGTACAGTAGGGTCGAACCTACTGCTGCATTGTACACTTTACCCTTCAGGGCGAGAGTGATGTCGCGCCGCTGCCATAGATGGCGAAGGTTAACAAAAGCGCTCCGAGCTTTTGCTATCCGGTTCCTGATATCTTCAATCCCAAAAGCGCTGACACAACTTCCCAGGTATTTGAACTTTTGAACGACTTCTAGCTGATCTCCACAAGGGTCAGTGTAGGAGGCGGTCCAGGCCAATCTTAGAGGAACGCTTTGCGCTTCGATAGTGCGAAGCAAAGCCCGAAGTGTCGGACAGCTAGTGCTAATCTGTCCAGCGTAGCTTGACACGTCTGGGAGCTGTCACAGATTAGGGCAATATCGTCCGCATACTCCAAGTCAAGAAGTCGTTCTCCTGGGAACAGATCCACACATTCTAACTCGTGTACTGTGAACGCGATTTCCATGACTTCGACAACAGCGAAGTTGAAAAAGAAAGGTGACAGCGGGCATCCTTGTTTCACACCGCTGGGCGACGACAGCTTGCCGTAAATCCTCACTCTGCCTGAGCTACGCGCGTATAATGCTCGGATACTATTTACATGTTTCGCAGGTACACCTTTCCTGTGTAGACAGTTACAAAGTGCATGTCTATCCATCGAGTCGAATGCACCTTTGATATCGAGGAACACGGAGAGGTGGCCAAGTGATGACTTGGTCCACAGGAATGAAGGCCCTCACTTCGGAGCTGGCCTCAGTTGGAGCTTCACGGCTCCCTGGTTGGGGTCCAAAAGACGGTGAACACGTTTGGCTGGATACACTTGCTGATATGGTAAGGAGCCGACCTCAGTGGCGTTCCTGCTGTGAGTTTCTTTGTCCCTCCCCATCCCTTTAGCCTCCCCCTCCACCAACGATCTTATTTCGTAGGGTAAAACGTAATTAACTTTTTGTTTTTGCCTAGTAGCCGGCTATTAGCTTACCGGAACGATGCCTATCCGTTGCTGGTAGCTCAGCTGGCATTCAACTGTCGTATTTATTTTTCCTTTATGTATTGTATGTATGTATGTATGTATTTCCATTATGTATTGCGGTACAATAGCGGAGGTGTTTTACCATCTCTAGCTGACATGTATAATGATGATGATGATGATGATCGAGGAACACGACAACAGGGGGCCGCCAATATATGTGACGGTGCTCCAACAACTGACGCAAAGTGAAGATGTGGTCAATGCAGCCACGACCTCGACGAAATCCAACTTGCTCTTCCCGAATATGGCTTTCACGAGTGCCAGTCAGTCTGTGAAGGATGGCAGATGCAATTTATTTGGAAGCGATGGAGATCAGACTGATTCCTCTATGGTTGCCGCATTCCGATCGTGAGCCTCCCTTAAAAATTGGGACTATGACGGAGCGGCTCCAATCGATTGGGACAGTTTCCTGCTCCCACAGTTTGACTAGTAACTCGTGTAAATCATCCGCAAGAACAGGTCCCTCGAATTTGAAGAGGGCTGGAGGAAGATCATCTGGTTCCGCGGCTGTGTTCAACTTCAACAGTCCAATCTCACGTTCGACTTCTGAGCGAGAGGGTGGGTCCAAAAGTATAGCCCAAGGAGCGGGGCGACCAGTGGCCGGCGAGAAATCTAACAATTCCGACCGATTAAATTGCCTTTCAAAATGCTTAACCCAACGCTCCAAGCGTTTTGACAAGTTGTGGATAAGCTGTCCAATCTCGTCACGTATAGTTTCATTAACACCAGGTCTCTTGTTACCCATTTCCCGTATTAGACGGAATAACTTACTATCGTTACCAAAGGCAGCGACCATTTTCATCCCGGAAGTACGATGACACCATCAGGATTTGCGGTCTCTCTTCAGACTCGCACGGAGTATTGCCCGGAGCTCTTTGCGTTTCATTGTGTTCGCTTCCAGTCGGAATATGCCGGCGAGCATCGAGAAGTTCTAGAGACTGCGAATAGACCCAATGTCCATGTTGGCGATTAGACTTACATGAGGATTTTCCTGCTCTTACTAAGGTCTAGTGAACATGAGACCAGTGAGCGTTTATCCAACTCGCATTTCGGCGTACTTTGATAGGCATTCAGAACAGCTGTCGTCGCCAATTGGCTGGTGTCAATGCGCTCACAACGTCGTCGTGAGCGTCCGCCAGAGCGCATCCACAGGTCAGCACATAAAAGCGAATCGTCGGTGACCACACCTGTGCTCCAAATCCAGCGACAGTTCTGGACGCAGTCTCTCCATCGGTAACATATCGCAATGTGCTTGATTTGCGTCCATAGCTGGTCCGAGGCTAGTGGGCACCAAGTCACCCTCCGGCGGGTGTTGTGTCGGAAATTAGTGCTCGCAAGAAATAAGCGAGCATCTTCGCACAAATGAAGTAACCACTCACCGTTTTCATTACTGGAGCCTACG